AGCTCGTTACATTTCTTGCATTCTTAAGATCAATTTGAGGTAGAGATTGAAGAATGTTGAGACAATTGACAATTTAAAAAAAATCTGCACCTATTCCCCTTCGAAAATTTTCGGTCAAAAGTTGAATTTTCATATGCGTGTTTCTTGAGCTCAATGACTTGTTTTCGACTGAAAAAGTTCCCCAATATGCATTTGTAAAGTGTTTTGGCCCATAATATGGAAGCAATCGTTCGTTAGAGCTTAGAAAGCACAAAAAGCAGTTGAATTGAGCCACAAAGATGGATTATTTAGGAGCTGAAGCATCTAGCGCATTTTCCATTAAGCTCGTTTCGTTTCTCGCTTCACTGGAATGGATGTAGGCATAATTCCAAGAATTTGAGAAAGAAACAGAAAAGAGTTAATGCTTGAAAAATGTGCTGCAAAATTAGGCTACGGTCAGTTTGATTGTATCGAATCAAGAAGGGCTTCAAGAAAAAATCGTCGTAAACTTGGAAAAAGTGGTTGGTGGCCTGTGAACCTTACAGAACATTTCTCAAGGAAAACTCTCTGTCTCGAAATAACATTTAAAAAACCCCTGAACGCATAACCAGTCCATCGTAAAAATGAATTGAATAAATAGTCACCTTGTTTCCATAAGGGCGACTTATATTTCTGTCACATCCCAATATAGGCCATAAGCAAATATTTGCCGTCTACCAAGAAGCTATTGTTGTCATTTTCTCTCGCCATTCATCGTCTCAAAATCTAGACGTGGGCAGAGAGAGGAGTGAAAAGCAAAATAAACAACCTCAAAGCTTTCCGGTAAGAAATTTACCCCTCTTGAGCGAATCGATGCCGTTTGCTTAAGATATAAGTCAAGCTGGAACGAATGGAAAAAATGGTATGTGCTGTTTTGTAACATGTCGGATAAGGTTAAAAATATCAGCGGCTGTAGGTAATTTAGCCATCAGTTCTCTGCCTGGAGCATTCAAAGTTTACATGCTGGGTGAAATTAACGGGGTCGTATATCACACTAGACGTATAAGTTGTATTTATCCTTCCCTCGTACAATGATAAACGTTTCAAGATTAATTACCATCACGTCGCTTCAGTGCCGAAATAATGCGATGGCAGGGGTAAGAAATATTCACTACAGTGGATGTTTCACCCTGCAGTTTCAGCTAGATTAACCTGAATTCTAGCTGGATCTTATTATCATGCTACTGCAAACCTCAATGCGGTTAGATCTCAGGATGTTGAACTAATTATCACTATTCCCATAGGTGTTTAGAGAATAATATTCAAGGTGCGCTAACTAATTGCCTCGATTTCAGTTGTTGCTACATCGTTTTATCGCCCGTATACTCAGACAGCGCTAATCTGGAAAGTTGCTGGATTATCAACGACAACACTTTATGTGTTTGCTTTATTTGGCAAAGTTGCCAGACTATGAGAAAACATTGTCTGTAACAAGTTGATCTTTCAAGTTGCGAAAAAAATTGTGCCATCCTCTGCTAGTTCATCTTGACGGTTTGAAACAACTCCAAATATCTACGATGGTTTTTCTGTGGAATTAAATGGATCTTTGGACGAGCCACAGGAAATTCGAGTCTAGAATCTTGGAGATAGATCGGAAAATGTAAGCCAAGACACATTGCATCGAAAATGCGTCGCAAATGCTCATTTCGACGCGGGAAATTGCCACTAAAACGTTCTGATCGCGTCTTGGAAACGGCATTTCGCCCGGTTATGTCACACAGTTTTCCGGCCGACATAAGCGCTGTCCTTACAAAAGAATCTAAGTGAAAAGATAATGAAGACGACGGCTTAATAGCGCCATAAAGTTACCCGTTGGTTTATGGGGGTGTTGTTTAATAAATCACGTTTTGGGAAGTGGCGATGTAGATTGGGGGCGAAACTTTGCAAACGCACTTCTTAACTTTTTAACAACTTGTAAAACGTTAAACTCGCTTACGTTGTGTCTTTGGAGGCAATATTTCCCAGAAACCGAAACAGCACGTTTGCGTCTTCACTGTGATTATTAAGCACTTGGCGGGGTTGACATTTTTTATGAATTGATCAATAAAACCAATCTATCTATGCTCCAGCTTAAAGGAAGTAAAATAGTCAAAATAAAAAAACATTTTCAATTGACTATAATCATAAAGCGATCCAGAACTTGAATGTTTTCGAATTCAGCACACAATCGAACGGTTGCAATAAATAAACTATGAAACGGCTGGCGCTGTCCTGTATTAATCAATTCTTGATTGGCACATCGATTCGAGAAAACTGTGCCAGGTAGGTGTGCGTTAAATTATTTAAATATTGAGGCCGTTGACTGGAAAAGTTGGCGTGTTTGATGTGGAATATTCAATGGCGGACTCCATGTGTATTATTACCGGACAAATTGGAATTTTCCTAACTAGGTTGGAAGCATAAAACAGACCTTTCCGCATGTAATTTATGTGTGTGGTTCACGTCCTTTTTACAAATAATTGAGGCCGAGATTTATTTTCGGCGAGTCATTCAATGCAGCACGAGATTGACATAAAGAGGAGGAGAACAGCAAATATGATAAGCAAGATGGATTATGGCCATTATGCAAAGAAAAACAAACTTCTCCGGGGAGGGTCGCGAGGTACATATGTATAAGGAATGATCCCAAAACACAGCGAACCAGTGTAAGCGGGGTATTTTTTATTGTTTTCAGAAATCTTTTGTGCCTATAATCAGAAATTCCCTCTCATCCTGGCCGACTTTGGAATAACAAAATTTTCACGCTTTTTTCTCAATTATCATTTATTTGTGGTACATCGGCTTAAGAACTTTCAGGTTTTTATCCCATTTCCAGCTCCCGAAATGCAATTAATCATACCGAATTATTCGTCTTGATTTCTGGTTTGTGCAGGCTTAATTTGCAATGTATTCACCACGCATTTGCTTCTTCTGTTGTTGGTATTATTTTTCCCGTTGCATGTTTGTGTGCGGTCCTGCCGGAATCGAAAACATGCGAACATTAATAATGGGCGTTTGCGTTCGTGAACTAAACTGGAATAAGAAAACCGGCAAATAAAGAATTCATAATAGTTTCTTGAACGTGAGTTATTGCGGGAAGCGAGCAACGAAAATCCCGCTATTTTCCCTAATATGCATTCGGTTGAGGAAAATTAGGTAAAGCGGATTTATAATGATTGCTTGAGGGCCATGAAGGAGCCAGACTAAATCGTTTCATATGTTCTAAAAAACTACCTGCATTTTTTGTACCTGTATTTGTGTAGTCTGCAATGCACTTAAAGCCAATTGTTTTCAATTGGAAGTTGTTTAAGTTACTGTGAATACATAAGTGAACCGAATTCAGTCGAAGTCACCTAAGTTTCACCTAAAGTTGTAAAGCAAAGAAGAGTTCGAATTACTTTGGCAAATAAACTTGCCTTCTAAAGTTCAGGCTTAACAGGATTGTAAAGATAATATCCGAGTATTAATCTAATTGCTATTTTATAGCGAAACGCGATAGAATGCACCTGTAATAGGAAACTTAATTAAAAAGGGCTTTTTTGTTTTGTGAATAGTCGCAGCTATTATTCGCACAAAAGCTTGTAGAATAGATGAATAGCTTAAAGACTAGCGAATTTGAGGAGCGATAGACATGTTGACGAAGACCTTTACATTTACATTATTTTGTCTAATTGCTCTCAAAAACAAGTTTTAGAATGCAAATTGCAACATTTTGACTTGAGGAAATGTAGGTTCATATTTAATCAAAATAAGTTAACCGTGTACTACAAAGAAACTATTCTTAACCATAAAGTAATCCTTTAATGCCCCTCCCATATTAATTCGACATAATTATATCGGCCTTATATTAATAGTTGATGCTTAATGGAAACTGGGTTAGCCGAAGGCAGTTGAGCTTAATAACAGTAATTTTATGGTTAAAAATTCATTAGCCACAATGCCTGCATATACCTATGTGGACACACGTTGCTTTGCTGCATGTGGAAATAGGTCGGTTATTGCCTCTAAAAATGTATTCTTAACAGAAATAATTGCTTAACTTTCCTCCAACTCGTAAAACATTCAATATGTTGAAAATAACCCGCCCTGAGTCCTGATTGCCTTAGCTGCAGAATCCAGCAATAGAGGAGAAACTCGCATATGAGATAATTCCAGTGTCATTCGCCCTTACATGTCTGCGACTTTTCTGATATCCACTTTGTAAGGCTGCACTATATTAAATGCCAAACAATTTAATACTGCAAAGCCTGCATTATGCTGGCTAAGGAAACGAGATACCTACTCGCTTTCGTTGGGCGAAATTAATCCATCATTCAGCTTATAAGCGAAATACTAGAACAAAATTAAATTCGCTCCAATTTTCTCAAACTTCAGACGGCAACGGTTAAGTCGCCAAGCTGGTAAAGCTTTTCCTTTTGACTCGTTCACAGTGACATGTTATTTCGAAATAATACGCGAACGCTCACAATGCTTTACAAGAAACGATTGACCGTATAAAGGAAACTTATTTCAACTTTTGGGGGATTGCAATTGATTTCGGCTTCTGCAAATGTCACCTGCAAAAGGACACTTTAGAAAACCCCGGCAAAGTGGAAATGAAATGACTAATCAATCACTCGAACAAATCCACTGTGCAACTTGAAATTTTTATTGCAGAGAAAACATTGAACTAATATAATCAGTTCTGACTTTTCCACAGTCAACTATCTAATTATCAGCTAGCAAAGGTCACGAGGGCCTTATTTTATCATCCACAGACAGTGAATTCCGCCCTAAATCCCACTTTATTGTTCTTTCATTACGGTTCTATTATGTCCCCGAAGTAGCGCTGTTTTAGCTCGGATCAAATATTGCTCGTTTTTTTTTAATTTCCGTCTTGATCAAGCTGCAAGTTTGTTTCACTTAATAAGTTGCCATTAATGTTTTAGACTGTGGTTTTTTAAATAAGCTTTCAGACCACGCTAACCAAGATATGTTTCTAATTTTCCTTTTTCTTGTTCTAGGTAAGCTTCGAATCGAGCCCCGGAGACCAATTTTGTGTAAGTAAAATATAATGCGCCTCTATTATTCCGGCAACCGTAAATTACGGCAAAAACTCCAGAATTCAACGCAAGCTCCACTCGAAAAGGGAACTTTGGTTAAGAGAAAATTGGTTTTCTTTAATACAAGCACATCCGTAAGGAAGGTGTGCTCAGTTGAAATAAAAGTGCGAGAATATTTCATTTGTGGCTTGTGGCTTGGCAACGTGCTTTTTGGCCCACTTGGCTTTAAACCATATAATTTCGCTGTACATTCCCGAAACCCGCTAACAACTTATGAGTGCTGGGCATCAATAAAATTTACATAAACTCCACTAGCCTGATATTCTCGTTCCATGGCACTCCTATTGGTTTTCGACACGTAAGCCTGGTTGTGCTGAAAAAGCGCTTGGTAATTTACCTTTAGGGGGCCAGTGCATATACAAGGCAAAGTATTGCATTTAATATGCATATATATGAAATGTGTATTAAATATATAGTGCACATTGCACTTATTAAGTATTTTGGTCTATAATGAGGAAGATGTCGGAAAATGAACCGAAAGTTTCGATTAGTTCGGATCTGAAGCTTCTGGCATGTTTTCAATGAGTTCGTTGCATTTCTTGCTTCGTTGAGATGAAAATGAGGTGAATGAAATGCAATATGAAATTTTCGGTCAAAGGCAAAATTTCACTTGTCTTTGAGAGCGTGTCTTTTGAGCTCAGTTGATTGTCTTTGGGTCTATAATAAGGAACGCATCGTCGGAGAAAAATCGTAATCGCTCAAAAACAACTTAAAATAGCCAAAAAATGAGCTTGTTAAATTTATGGCTTCCTCGACATAAAGGTCGGGCAGAAGTGGAACAAATTTGAGAAAATTCGGATTTTCAAAAAAATCGACCTCTACTCGAAGAACGAAAACCCAATCGAAGCTTCCTCAAGAAGCCCAAGAAAAGAACTTATAAAACACTAACAAAGAAGGAAACGGTAATGAAGAGTTCCCGCTAGTGTTGATCACAAAAATCGATAAAAAAGCAGACTCGCAAATATTTAATAGTTTTTCTACAAGCAAAGAAGAAACACAAAATTAAAAGTAGCAAAAAATCTATACGAAGTACAGAAAAAACGACGCTCTAAACTATAAACATCTAAACATTAGGCAGACAAAACATCAAACAGAATTCAATAAATAATGCAAGAAATGAACGCACCAAAAACAAGAACGAGAAAGTTGACTATTTCCTTTTTCGTTTCGTCGAATCTTTAATAAGAATAGCAACTGAAGAAATTATAAAACGTGTTTCTTTCAACTTCTCAGTCAAATCGACTTATAGTTCACAATCAAGGGAACGAAGATGAGAATATTCCCGCCAGTACCGAAGAATAAAAATCCACAGGAAAGTACAAAATAAAATATTTAAACTTTTTTAGTGCGCTTTATTCTATGCAAAGGTAGCGGATACCCAAGACAATTTTCAAATTTTCGGTCAAAATTCAAAATTTCACATGCGCGTTTTTTGATCTCAAAGGATTATTTCCGACCTAGGAAGCTCCTAAATGTGCATAAAGAAAATTATTTTACATACGGGATTTTTGAGCTTGATGGATTATTTCCGTCCTACGAAGCTCCCCAATGTGCATATTAAAATTGTTTGGATTCATAATAAGGAAGAAACCGTCGGTTAAAGGTCCAAAATGCTCAAAAACCGATCAAAAATATGGACCATTTCAGATGTAAACGTTCTGGGGTACTTTTCAATCAGCTCATTGAGTTTTTCGCTTCCTCGATATATTAATAAGGATAGAAGTCGGAAAGTTTTGCAAAAAATATATTTTTGAAAAAATCGACCTCTACTTACGAAATTCTTCATCAAAAGTCAAAGTTTCACAGGAGACCGATCTAAGAAGCTCCTCTATAATAAAGAGGAAATCGTTCATTGAAGATAGGAAACGCTCTAAAGCAGGTTAAAATGTCGATGATTACGGAGCTAAAGCTTCTAGCTTGGTTTTCCGTGAATTCATTACATTTCTGGCTGCGTTCAAATGAAAATGAGTTAGAATTCAAAGGATTTTGAAAGAATTGCTGAATATTTTTTGCTTGATAAATAGAAACAGTATTTTTCTTGAGTTGATCAATTAATCCGTTTTCGAGATTTTCGTACTCTAAAATATTTGCAAAAACTTCTAGCGGTGATATTTTTTGCACAAACAAAATTGTTTGAACGGTTTCTGACCCTGAGGAATTGGTTTGAAATGGTGATTTATAATAAAGAAATGAGACGCATGCAACATTTGCAGGAATTTGCGGGGGACTGGAAAATTTGGTGTTCGAGGTCTGGCACGTGCGGTTCGACCTAAAAATACGATCGAGGAGGAATACTTTTTAAAATCCATATATCACAGGAATTTGGCATAGCAAAAAATACAGTTCGTCAACAATCAACACTTATCATGCGGCATTTTACCAATTCATCATTACGCACAATGGCAAAAACCATCTGAATGCATTGAAACACATTTTGTCCATTTTAATGGAAGATATCGGTCTGATATCGTCGTGCTGCTTTAGTGCTCATTTAATTATTTTCCATAGAAGTGTCCTGAGTTAACGCCTTTGCATTTTGTCTTGGAGAGCAACTCTGATGCCACTCCAATGAATTCCCAGGAAGAATACTGACGTAGGATTCTACGCAACAAGACGTGCAAAAGAATAGAGGGCGGATGGCAGACGTTTTTTAATTCGGGCTTATTATTTATATTTATATTAAAGTATCATCCAATTTCAAAAGACATGGAGTTTAAGATCATGTGCTTTCGATAAAAATTCGACTCAAATAAATGTAGCACTTTTTGAGCAACTTTGAAACCTATTCGCGTTTCCATCATTAATATTATTAAAGCTTAGCTCTGCTTTGTTTCCCCGACGTTAAAACTATAAATCACGGAAATTTGTAAACTTTATTGTGCCACTCCAAGCCCCAGCCACAGTACTCTAAATTCGATTCTAAAATGCACAAAACTCTATTTACGACAGTTTGAAATGCCACAAAGTTCTTTTATTAGTCAGTAGTTTGCCTGACGTGAAGACAATGGAATTTTGGTGCAAAATTTACTGAAAACTTAGAACGCTTGCTGCGCAATGCCGTTTTTCGATTTTGGCTGTTTTATTGGCTTTGTCAGCATTTATAATAACTGTTTGGACTGCTGGATTCAGAACATGTCATGTAAGAAAAAAACGTTTACATTGCAAACGCGCTTGAATCACAATTTACTAAATCTCCGAATTGAGTAAGTGGACTCCATCAAATTTGATCTCGACTCGATTACGAAAAAGCGTATTTATGTTTTAAGATGTTTTTTTTAACTATTTCTCCAATGAATAGCTACTATTGATTTGAGAATAAAATTTAAATTGGTGTCCCAATCCCATTAAATCTGTCCACACTTTATACGAAACCACTTAAATTAGCTCTATCGATTCGCGCAAATCTAATTTCACCATTTTGAATGAATAATTATCTTAACATTAACATTAATTACGTTCGTGAAACTCAAAATACGGAAACTTTAATTGGTGAAAATAATAAACCTTTATAGCCTGTTCGAGTGAATATAATTTCACGAAATGTCGTTGTTAAGTCCGCAAAACCCGATTTATGTCAGTTTTGGAAACTTGGAAATCCTGCCGCCATGTTAATCTTGTTAATTTCCAAACTTTCTATAATGTACTTTATTTCCTATTGATTAGTTTGATTGGGACTTCGCATATGCGAGTAAACACTGCAATTATTTCTGTCTTAGTGATTGTTTGGTTTCTTTAGTTGAATCCCAATTAGTTTAGACTAGTTAGCTTGTTATTTATCTTTTTAATCATGTTGGCTTTTGAAAAGTTAACCACTGAAAACAAACAAAAATTAATGTAAAAATTCACTGCTACTAGACGGTGTTCACTTCATTAAACACCTCATTTTATTCTGCGTAGTTTTGCAAAACCCACTAGAAATTCGCGTAATGATAAATTTGTTTCAATTTCGCCTGCTTAACTAGTTAGATATTTTTTCATTAAATCAAATAACTGCTGCTAGTTTAATGGGGATTTTTGCATTTATGAATGCATAAAGAATGCCTTTCCCCGTACTGGCTAAAGAATTGGGATTTTCAGGGTTTGCTTAATGACATTAGCTTGTTTTAATTCAGTTCGTATTTTCCACTTTGGGGAAAATTGCCCCGAATTAGGGCCCCTTTTTATCTGTTTGTATTATTAATTGCCTGAGATAAGCCCGAATTAAAGTACGGGATTGAAGTTAAAAGAATCCCTTCGTCAGTGGCCGACTGAAAAATCTTTTATTATTTACATGAAGTTGGCATTCGTTAACGGTGACAAAGTGGAAGAGTTAATTCCAGGTTTTTTGAAAAATCCCTCCATAAAGATAAAACTCCATGTGATAATTTTAGCTGGAAACTTTATTTACTACAGACCGTTAATATATGGCGAAACGTCCCAGTTTTGGGGTTGTTATCAAGCTGTAAATATTTTATTCCCTCTCTAATAAACCGTTAAAGTCAAGTAAAGGGTTGTTTTTATTGTTTTTCGGCGCTGCTCTCGTCGAATGTATACTGTTTAGTGCCGGCCAAATGGCATGTTAAATTCCCTCGAGAAGAGATCAACGTTAGCGCCTAAACATCCCTTCAGATTGAACACATTTAAACAGCACGCAGCAGCAATTCGTATTCCGACCTAATATATTTTTTGGTTCACCTTGATAAACCCATTTGTTACCCGGGAAATTATGCCTGGGAAGGCCTTAAATGCAATACCGCAAAACCCATTTTTCTCGTTCTTAAAGTAATAAATATCTTATTCAAACGTTATCTCTGGTCGAAGGCCAAGATTTATTATGGATGTCGGAGAGATCATGTGGTTTTTAGTCAGATAAAACTATCAAGGGACGGCGGAAAATGATTTTTCCTTTCGTTCTTATACCGAATACATCAGTTAGTTTTAGTCGGTTTTAAATGCAG